GGCTGCAGGGAACTTGTTGGCATCCCAAAATTTTGGTGATCTGTCCTAACTTTTATGATGCTTCTCGTGGGTTTAGAATTCCCTGCGCACAGCTAGCCCTCGCCCTCTGGAGTGAGGTTTTGTTGTCCTTGCAGAGGGAAACTGAGGCAGCTCGGGAGTTGGTGGTTTTGGAGGTGGAGGGCTTTTGAGCCTTCACTGCAGCACAGGGCACCCCCACTTGAACCGTACTGGTGCACGGGGAGCCTTGCACCCCCCCTCTGCCCCCAGCTTTGTTTCGCTGGGGTGCTGTGAGCACTGTTTTGGGGGATGGTGGCTCCTGTGCTGGGGAGGTTTGGGGCAGCGCTCGCTTCCTCGCCAAGCACAGCATCCACGCGGCTCCCAGAGCGATGCTGCGAGGGCACCTTCGGTTCCTGGGTAGCACAAAGGACAGACCCAGCCCCAAGCCCTCCCCAGGGAGGAGAAATCATAATCCGCTTGGCTCCGGGACTTGTGGCTGGGGGCAGGAGCACCTGGGCTCACCGGGTCCCTGCTGGGTGGCCTGACGGTGACCTCCATACGGGCAGGTGGCTGGGGGGCCACCTCTGCCCCCAGGCTGGGCCAGCACGGCCACACCTTGGGGCACCCTGCGGTGCTGCTCCCCTCCCCGGGAGGCTGCAGTCTGTCCCGTACATCCATCTGTCCTTCCTGCCCGTCTGTCCTACCTGCCGCCGGTGGCGAGGCAGCCGCAGATTAGCCCAGAGCCCCTCTGCGCAGACCAAAGCTGCCACCAAGGGCATTAGGCTGCAGGATTGGATTACCCCGGGGCCACCTGTCATCCCCACGCTGTAAATTCAGCTTGCCCTGGGTCCGGTTTTCACATTAGAGAAGTTTGCACTTAAAAAATTACAAATCCTCCCCCCCCCGCCCTGAGCCCCTCCGAGCCAGCAGGTTTATTTTAGCATCCCGACCTACTGCAGGCTTCAGAGCTGCGCGGGGCTGGGGATTAGGGATGTTTGAATGGGGAGAGCCTTTATTGGGTTACCCTAAGTGGTTAATAGGTAAAGTAGGCCAATCCATCTTTAGGCTAAGCCTATCACTGCGCCTACGAAGGGTGCAGGCTTCGTGGGGGAGATACTCATTAGGGGAAAAGCTTTTCCTCTGTCTCGGTGTGTTCGGAGTGAGGGGCTCTGCTCCCTGCCTGGGGCAGTTCATGGCCGTGATCCCCCCGCCTCTCCGTCCTCCCCTGGGACCCTGGGTGCTGTGTGTGGTGCTCAGGGGTGTGGGGTTTCGGTGCCTGGCACCCTGGCGTTCCTGTCCTGTGCCCACAGAGCAGCAGCTCGTCCCTTCCCGAGTGGGGACGCAGGGAGAGGGTTCAAAGGCAGGGCTTCGGCGCTGGGACTCTCTGCTCTGGGATGTTCTCAAGGCTGAAAGGGCTTAAAAGGCTCAGACAGTTCCCAGTCAATATGAAACAGGATGATTCGGGTGCACGCGCTGGCTCCAGAGGTTTTTGAATCCCAGATTGCCAGAAGGCAGGAGGATAACAAGGCAGGAGGGACGGCGTGCCAAGCTTCTCATGCCGCCTTCATTTTCCACCCTGCTATCTGCTGCAGCTCGTCTCCATCCAGCGCCGTCCCGGCTGGTGCCGCAGCTTTGTCTGCGCTCAGGTGGCCGCTTCCCACAGCCCAAATCCCCTCTCTTGCCTCCCTTTCCTCTCCCATACAGACAGCGGCTGCATCTCGGCACCCCTGCCTTGCACCACGAAGCTGCCAGGTCTGTGACGTGTCCACGAAGCCTCCGTGGAAAGCAGGGTGGAAAGCAGGGGCCCCGCAGCGCTCAGGAGCTGCCCTGGGGGTCCTGCACCGTGCTGGGATCGTGCTGATCCTGCCCCTCTCTCTCTCGGTGGCTGCAGCTCCTGCAGCCCTTACAGCTCCGTGTTCCCCTCCCTTTGGCGCTGCCCCTGGTGTCTGGCAGCCTCAGGAGCAGACACGTTGCGGGCTGGAGCCTGCTCCTGCTCCCAGCACTGCCTGCAGCGTGCGCGTTGTGCCGGAGCTGCAGCGCTCTGCCCTTCTCCATTCTCCAAATTCTCCAATTTTGCCCTTCTCCAGGTGTGGTGTGACTGGGAACAATCCCCTCGTGGTGACTTTTCCGCCTGCGTGAGTTCAGAGCAGCAAAACCTTCCCACTCCTCCTGTCCCCGAGGCTCTGCTGTCTCTGGCTGCCAGCGGGACGGGTGCTGCCTCTGTGGGAGATTTCGGGAGCCCTGGGAAAGCTCCGTGCTGCAGACAGGCCCGTGCAGTGAAACTTTGCTTTCCTGGATGTGATGCTGTCAGGGGTTCAAACCACGGCCATGGGTCACAGCATTTGGCTTTGCTCTCTGCTGTTGTGCAGCCACGTTTCCAGCAAGGCAGTGCCCAAGAGCCCCCAGGACCTTAACAGGGGGCTCTGCCCCGCACCCATCTGGGTGGAGGAAGGGGAGTGCTGCAGGGGCCGGGTTTGATGGATCCTGTTCTTGTTTTGGGGTTGAAGGCCCCGTTTCTATCCTTGCTCCTCTTAGCCCGTGCTGTCCCTCCGGTAGCAGTGTCCGTGTGCTTTGGCTTCTCTCGCCCTGGTGGGTCAGCAGCGAGATGTTCTGCACGTGCCAGGAATTCAGCTCCTCTCCAAAACCCCCACTTGCGGGAGGGCTGGGGATGGACAGAACCGAGCGTGCTCAGCTTTCTGCAACAACACCCCTTGGTTGGCCTCAGGCACGGATCAGGAGCAGGGCTTCAGGTGCTGGTGGCTCTGCGAGGGAACTGCCACCGGTGGATGCCTCCCAGACGAGGAGCTGCTCCCTCCTGACTTCCACTTCTGGCTCCTCTGGGTTCCCGAAGCGCTAATTAAGAGTTTCCCAACCAGATCGCCTGACTCCGCACCTCCACCCCCAGCAATTTCCTCCTCTTTCCCAGGGCTCTGGGGCCCAGCCCTATCCAAGGCCTCTCTTGTGCAAGGAGAAAAAAAAAACTAAGCCTTGCATCATTCCCAGGAGCCTGGTAAATGCTGGTTGCAGCAGCCCTGGAGGGGAAGTTGGTGGCGATGTCCGGGTCCTGTACGATGGACCTGCTGCTGCTCAGGGCTTCGGTGCAGCCTGAGGGTCCTGGGCATGTCCTGGTGAGCGTTTCCCTCTCCTGGCAGGTCCCAAGCCCTGAAGGACTTCATGGGTTGACACCAACCCCTTAAATCAAGCTGGGGAGCGCTCGGTGGCCAGCGCAGGATGTACCACTCAGATTTAATGTGGCCATAAAAAGAGACACGGCGTAATGAGGAGTCTGTCAAAATCCACGCCAGCCCACGGTAGATTTAAGAGTTGCTCTCTGAGCATTAATGACTGGCGCTCTCTGAAGGCGCGACCAGTTTGCCAAATTCTCCAGAAAGCCGAGGGATCTGTCAGTTTTATTTCAGTCACTGCTTGCCAGCGGGCGCCAGCTCCCAGTTTCCAGAAGCTTTGTGTGAAACAGCAGCCCTAGGGGATGCTGCTGCCCATGGGGCCCCTTCGCTTGGGGTCCACCACCGCCTCTCCCGGTCACCCAGGTGGAGCTGGTGCGGGGCTCATCGCCCACCAGGGGCCTGTGCCAAATGGGGTTGGTCTGGGCTGCACAGAGCTCCCCTCCTGCACGATTTGTGGGCCGGAGGTGTGTGGGGTCACCCGGCCCTTGTCAGTAGGGACACGGTGTGAAGGTAATGCCAGGAGACGAAGCAGAATACCAGGCACAATCTGCATCAAAGAGCCAGTGCGTGAACAGCTACTGTCTAAATTTAATAGGCACACAACGCTTCATGGTTCAATCAAACCACTCACTCTGGAATTTCTTATTATTTGCCCTCAGATCAGATGGGACACATTTCTTCCCCCTTGGCTTCTTATTAAGCAAAGGGGAACAAGCGGCGGCTGTGTGCAGCACGGCCGGGGGAAACGCTCCTCCAGGCTGGCAGCTCACACGCTCCCCGGTCGTTTCTCTGCAATGGGTGGATGCTTTGAGAACTTAATCAAGTTTTATAGCTTTAATTTTGTGACAGACTCCCCTCTTGCCTTTTTTAACCGGCTCACAGCAAATGAGCCCCGTTGGGTATAAAGGGAAAGAACTGGCAGAAGGTCTAAAATATTTAGGCTTGTCCATGGCTGTTAGGAAAAAATTACTTTTTGCTTCGAGCCACTTCCACCATTTCTGCAAGATCTCCAGTTTTTCCCCGTGTGGTTAATTACAAATAGCCAGAGTAATGTGCTGGGATTGCTCAAGGATTTGGGCTTCAAGGGTGTTTTGTGAGGGTGCATCCTGCCTGGGAGCTGAGTTTTCCATGCTCGTGTGCCGTATCCCAGCCAGCGTGGCAGTGGAGGGGAGAGGGGAGAGGTTGTCCTCACTGGGTGCAGGACTGGGACATGCTGAAGATGCCACCAGCAGCTCTTGATGCTCCTTCTCGTCCTTGTTAGGGAAATACTCTGCTGGGTGTAGGGGACCAAGGTAGCTAGGTGACAAGCTAGGCACATGCTGGGGACAAATTGCACCCTCGAGCCTGAATTGGGAAAAATGTGTTTGGGATGCTAAGGGAAAGCAGGGTGGATGCGCTTTGGTGAGCTCCTGGCTTCTGCTAAGCCCTTCTTCTCGTTACTGTGGGGAAAATGAGCTCTGGGCTGGGAGCTCTCTGCTGTCAACCTGAGCCACGCAAAATGCCGCTGTGGACTCATCCTGGCTGGATCATCAGCTGGGAACGGGCATGGTACATGCAGCCACGTACGTGTGGCCTGACTCACCCAGCCTGGGGAGACTGCTCAGCTGGATTTCTAACAGTAGCCTTTAATAATAATAATCCCTCCCCAGCCTCTAAATCACTGGAAAATGGATTTATCAGTACAAGCTGAATGGCCCACGTAGGCATTTTAGGGAGGAAAATCGTTGTGTATCTGTGCTTAAGTATGCATGTTTGCATGTATTATGTGTATTTTCCCTGCTGTTCCCTGCTGTAACCCATGTGTGTGTTCTGCTGCAGGGACCTCATGCCCAGGACCCTGGAGGGGCAGATCACCATGGAGAAGACCCCCAGCTACTTCGTCACCAAGGAGGCCCCGGCCCGCATCTCCTCCATGTCCAAGGGCACGAAGCTCATCGTGGTGGTGCGGGACCCCGTGACCAGAGCCATCTCGGACTACACCCAGACGCTCTCCAAGAAGCCCGATATCCCCACCTTTGAGAGCCTGACCTTCAAAAACAGGACTACGGGCCTGATCGACACCTCGTGGAGCGCCATCCAGATCGGCATCTACGCCAAGCACCTGGAGAACTGGCTCCTCTACTTCCCCATCGGGCAGATCCTCTTCGTCAGCGGGGAGAGGCTGATCAGCGACCCCGCGGGGGAGCTGGGCAGGGTCCAGGACTTTCTGGGCCTCAAGAGGATCATCACCGACAAACACTTCTACTTCAACAAAACCAAGGGCTTCCCCTGCCTGAAGAAGGCGGAGGGCAGCAGCAAACCCCACTGCCTGGGGAAAACGAAAGGCAGGACCCACCCCGACATCGACCAGGAGGTGGTGCAGAGGCTGCGGGACTTCTACCGGCCTTTCAACATGAAGTTCTACCAGATGACGGGGCAGGACTTCGGCTGGGACTGAGGCTGGTGTGGGAAAATCCCCTGTAATTACTTGCCCAGCACGGTTTGCGTATATAAAGAGATATATATGTATGTAAAATGTACAGAAATCTATTTTATAATAATTTATTTTTAATTCCTAAGCAATTAATTCACTAAGCTGCCTAACCGCACTGGCTAGAATGGTAGCCCGTAACCTGTTTAACATTCCACCCTGTTTAATTCTAATACATCTCTCCTTTCTTTTTTTTTCCCTCCCATTTTCTCCCCTTTTTGGTTTGGTTTGTAACAGACGGTGCTTCCATTTTTCCTAAAGAATATTTGTATTTAAAAAATCGAAAAAAAAAAAAAAGAAAAAAAAAAAAAGAAAGGGCGGGAGGGGAGGGAAAGCACAAATTTATTTTTGTTACGGGTATCTGGCCTTTATAAACACTTGCTTTCCCTATTCCGGTGTCCCGGTCTCTGCTCCCTCGTCCCGGGGGGGTTCTGTGGGGTGGGCGGGGGGCAGCCGCACACCTCCCTGCAGCCCGGGTGCCTGCGTGGGGCACCCCAAGCCATACAGCCCCTGCTCGGTGTCCCAGGCTCCGCAGGGCTCTTTGCCTTGCAGAGAGGCCCCAGAGCCTGTGGTGTGGGCAGAGCCAGCCCCTCAGCCTGCTTCTCCGTGCCCGGTGGCAAGGAGGCTCTTTCCCACAACCCCTCTATGCATTTGAAATCTTTCCTGCAGGACAAATGTGAAAATGTGTGTGTGTGTAGGTGCCGCACTCCGTGCCGGTTGCAGGTGGCGTTGCTGCGGCAGTGCCTGCGCACGTGCTGGGATTTCCCAGGTAGTTCATTTACTTCTGCAGCCTCCTTGCTCCTGCCAGCCCGTTGGTGCTGTTTGCTGTGGCTGTTTGGTGGTGAAAAGGTTCTTTGGAGCCGGGCTGGGTCTGGTCCTGGTCCTGCTCAGGTGCGTGCAGTCCCGGAGCAGACCCAGTGGGTGCAGAGGTGTGCGGGCAGAGCGCTGCCCTTGGGGCTTTGGTTGAACCTCAGGGCTCTGGGCTCAGCTCGGCTCAGCCCACCCGGCACCCAGCAGTGCTGGTGAGGCGTGCGTGGGCTCACAGGGGGTCGCCAAGCACTGGTGTGCCCTGGAGGAACGGGAGATGCTGAGCACGATGAGGCTGAGCCTCGTAGTAAACCTGCTGTGAGCTGGATCAGCTCCCTCCTTGGGCTTTGCCTCCAAACAAGTCTTCCTACAAAAAGAAGGTGGGGCCAATCCTCTCCTTTGTACCCCGAGCCATTTCTAGCACCAAAGCAACGCTTTAGGACCGACGCGGTCCTGCTGCCGGAGGTCACCAACGTGAGCGTGGGACCTGCTGTGCCGCGCAGGTTGAGGGAGCACACACACCACCCTGTCCTCCAAAACGCAGCTGGGAACCCAGGGTGGTGGATGGATCTATGCACGTTTGGGGTCATTTGGTGCCCAGCCAGGCCCCCAGCCCCGCTCCCCAGTCAGGTGATGGATACACCAGCACGTCACAAACCCCTGCGGTGCTGGGTGGCCCAGGGGAAGGTGCCGCAGGGCTTGGGTGGGGTGCTAAGTAAATGCTTCCTGGTGGAAAAGAGTGACTTGGGGTTCCCAAACCCTCAGTCTTCCTACTATGCAAAACTCATCCTCTCCACGAGCCTGGGGCGAGCTCCCAGCCATGGCTGCGCTGGCCACGTCCTTCCACGCAGTCACCGCTTTGGTGGCTTCCTTGCCCACGGGTCCCTCTGGGGCACGTGTGCGTGCCTGGTGTTTAATGCTGGACCATTGAGCATCCCCCCTCTCCTCCTGGAAACAGCTTCTTCATGTCCTGATGCCTTCCTCAGCTGTATGGCAGAGCATGGGCTTAATTTGTATAATCAAGCCCTGCTGCAAAAAGCTCTCATGAAGCAATCTTGTTGGAGAGTAGAAACACAGAGGGTGAATAATAACTCTTGTAACCTTAAGCAAATCGTTAGGCCTTTGTAATGAAGTCTGTAGCAGACTTCATCTAATATAAAGGCCTTACCTAACAATGTGACAAGAAAGGTGAATTCCCCGTGGCATACATCTGGTTGCTAATACCGGAATCAGTTCTATTGTCATCATTAAAAAAAAAAAAACAAACTTTTTTTTTTTTAAGTTAAGCTTGGAGGTGTGATTAGAAGTTCTTTTTTTTTTTTTTTTCTTCTTTTTTTTCCCATTTTTTTTTCCATTTTTATTTTTCCTTCACATTGTTACATTAATTTATGGCTGAGTTTCATTCAGTCCTGTATTCCGAAGTGCAGTACAGGTATTAGTGATGTGTTGTCTGTAACATGGTACTGTAGAGTAGCCAATTTGTTTAAAAAAAAAAAAAAAAAAAAAAGAACAAAATGGAAAGAAAAAAAAAAAGCCTGAGAAAATGTAAATCAAATATTTTGTGGTACGAACAACACAAATTAATTTTACACAGAGAAAGATGTTTCTAGGAAAATGGAATTCTGATAATTCATACTATTTGTATGAACAAATAAAAAGTATATTTTACCAAGCGATGGGCACGGTTGTATTCATTGCAGGCGTGGGGGCGGAGGTATGGGCACCTCCCCGGGCACCCAGGGTTTGGTGGTGCCGGCCCCATGGCAAAGCCCCAAAGCCGGAGGCAGGGCAGCGAGCAGCCCACCCAACACGTCCTTGTCAAACACGGTGCTGGGGAGGGGGACCTGGGGGCTGGCCCTTGGCCCCACAGCGGGAGCTGGGTGGGTTTGGTGGTCGGTGACAGTGTCCTCCTGTGTCGGGATGCCGGAGGATGAGTTTGGTCCTTCCCACATGGTGGGGAGCCTCTCCAGTGCCAGGCTTCTTTCCTAAAGCATTGCACCTCCTGCAGTGATGCTGCTCCAAACCTCTGGGGCCAGCAGTCACCACTGCTCCCTACACACTGAAGCGCTTACGACATAAAAATTCACTCTCATTACATTCAGAAGAGTCCCAGGCCAGTGCTATACAGAGCAGCACCTAGAGAGCTTTGCAGATTTACGTAACATAGCAATTGCCACTGAACTAAACTGAATTAAAATACTTCAATCTTCCTCAGCAAGTCTTGCATCCGGTGCAGAGGAATTGATGGGAATCTCTCTGCCCGTTTTTCAGAGACCTAGAACAGGAGGCAGAACCCAGCACAAGGTGCGATGTAGCAATTAGGGATGCATTTGACCCAGGTGCCTCCAGCTCGTCAGGATTTTAACCAGCTGCTCCCAAACTCCAGCAACACTTAAACTCTACAGGTGTTATACATTAAAATATATATATATGCATATATATATATATATATGCAGATTTTAGTTTAGAGCTCCCCTGTAGCTATGAAGTGGTGCAGCTGGATGTGGTGAGCTGACCTGGGCTCGCTGGGGCCTCGCCTTGATGGTGTTCAAAGCCGGGGCCTGTAGGCCTGGCCTTTGGGCCTGGTTTTGTAGCAGCCATAGCGGGCTGCCCCTCTTCTATCGTGCAGGAACGGCTTGTTTCTGGGGTAGGTGCATGGGTGCTTTTCCTTAACGGGGGGTTGGTGCTGACAGAAAGGGAAGGTCAGTCCCTGTGACGTGGGGCTCGGTGTCTGCCCTGCATCTCCCTGCAGGCTCTTCCCAGTTGCAGCTGGGCCTGTGGTACTGGGATGTGTTTCCCTGCTTGTTTTGGGCTGGGCCCTATCCTCAGATGGTGTTTTGGTGAGGGTGTTTGAAATATCAGGGTTTCTGTGTGGCTTCTGGGTTTGGGTACTGGATCAGAGAAGCATTTGCCATGCAGGTGTGCTGAAGTGTCTGGTGGTGGCTCTGGGGGCCTCCCCTGGAAAAGGAGGCTCTGGAATGACCTCAAATGGTTTGGTGGAGAGGTTGATGAGGCTGAGGCAACTGTTAAAAGGACGCTGCTAGTGGTGCTGAGTACTGGGGTGGATTTACTTTATCTCTAGGTGAGAACAGGCTGAGGGTGGGAGAATGTGGTGAGCTTTCAGATGAAACAATCAGCCAGGGCCCCAGGTTGTACATGAACACTGCCTTCCTGGTGAAGGTGTTTGGGGTCTGGAGCTCAGAAAGCCTCCTGCAGGAGTGCCACCTGGAGAAGGTGTGGGTGCCAGGGTGGGAAGGCACAGAGCAGGGAAAAACTGGGCAGTAAGGGACTGGGCTACCTCTGCGAGCATGGTGTGGAGGGCCGGGTGGCCAAGGAAAGAGCTGGGAGGCCCTGCCGAGGCAAAAAGGTGCTGGTAGAACTCGGAGAGTTGAGTCCACTTCAACAAAGCCACTGAAAAGGTTGGTGGGCTTTGTAGGTGGCTTGTGCTTATTGGGTTTTGGACTACAGGGATGTGCTGGAAGTAACCCTGAAGCTTGAGGAAGCTTTGGGCATGGCTTCAGGAAGGGACTTTTGGAAGTTTTCCTTGAGAGTGGTGTGTGCTGTGCATCTCCCATTCCCAGCTGGCTCGTGCCCTTGGTGGTCCTGGCTCCCCAGCCACTATGACATGGTGATAGGAATTGCTTTGCTTCTCTTCCTGATTTTTTTTTCCCCTTCAAAAAGAAAGAGGAAAAAAAAAATAGGTATGAGATCTGTCCATTAATAGCTTTATTTAAAGCTACATTTTATTATCCCCCAATTTTTCTCTGTGGTTAAGAACTGTGGTTAAGAATCATGGTGTTAACTCTTTTCTTAATGCATATATTCAAAAAGGTAATAATAACGATGAATTAGTTATAAATCATTCAAAGACTTCTATGGAAGACAAGTGTTCAGCACCGTGTTTAATGGCCTCTTTATTAGAGAGAGAGGAATTCCTGTGTCAAATGTTAGTGTTGGTACCTCCAGCTAGGATAAAACTTCATGGCCTCTGCGAGTCCTCAGAGCTACCTGCCAGCCAGGAGTCCCCTGTGCGAGGGGTATAATTATTTTAAGGCAGCAATTTCAGATAACTGCAGGGCCCTACACACTGATTCATGGAGAGGGAATGACTGGTACCAGAGATGCAGGAGGCTGGTTTACCTTCCTGTTTCTAAACTCTTCTTGCTAGGCTGTGTGCCCTGTTTATTGCTGCTTTCCTTTCTTTTCAACAGACCACGATCCAGTTTTTGCATGACTTCTGGATCCAGACTTCTGCCTCCACAGTTTCCCCTTCCTTCTGAGAAAGGGCTTATAAATAGGATTGCAGAAGTCAGCTGCTATCTCTGCATCTCTTCAGTTAAGAACTGAAGAGCATCCTTGAGGAATATTATTTGCAACCATTTATACCGTCAGCTATAATTGTGAGTTAATTCATGCTCATTAAAGTCTTCTGAGGTGCTTGATGAGAAGCACTGCAGCAACACAAAGTATTTCTTGTTGTTCAAGCTGCTTGCAGCAGTGAAGCCATCACCATTTGTCTTGGATTGATCTTTTCCCCAACCCACCAGGAGTGGCTGGGAAGACATCAGTACCAGCTGTCCTCAGGAACAAAGTCAGAGCTGGGTGTTGGGCTCCTGACAGGAATTATGTGCCATGCCCTAGTAGCATCCCAAACGCTGAACAAAGGAACGAAATTTTAAAGTAATATGCTCAAAAATGGCTTGGCAGAGGAGATGCAACTGGCTGCCTTGACATGTAGGTTATTTAGCTGGGAATTTATGTGTCAAAAGCTTAAAAGCTTCACTGAAGCAAATTTAAGAAAGCACCATGTTTCCAACTAATTAAGTAATGTCAGCCAAATATAATTTATTTCTCACCATCACTCATGTCTACAGCAGAACTATCTCATTTTTGATTTCTAATGACTTTTTCTCTCTCATTAATCTGACCATGAATTATTTTTTATATAAGTCTTTGGCATTGAAGCAAAGGATTTTCTTTTTCTTTTAATATCCAGCATCCCTGGATAGTTCTGCATTGCACTTGGAGAGGGGCAGGGAGTCCAGCCAGGATTTCGTGGCAGGACTGTAGCCTCCCTCCCCAGCAGCCCTGGTAGGCTTTGCCCCACATCTTCCTCAGGACCCCAGCTTGTCCCTGCTCCCCTAGGTCCCCCCTGTTTCTTCTTCTGGCACAAGCTGGGTCCACAGGCTGTGGTGTTGTTTGTTTTAAAGGCATTTTCCTGCAGTTCGCAGGGAATTTTGTCATGTGCCTCCCACAGACTGTCTGACTCCTCACTGTTTCCTACCACATCCCCAGCACGTCCTGTAGATGCTGGCTGTTGCAGAGCCTCAAGTTCGGTTCCTCCACCTGTTGTGTGTAGCTCTGTCCCAGGCATGGGTGTCCTGGTTTTTGGAAGTGTTGGTCTTCCTCGTTTACTGCTTTGGTTAACATTTTGATATTATTTTATTGTTAATTATTTGTTATCTGAAGCTTAGCTTATTTCCAAGTCCCTAGAGCAAGCCCTTAAGATAGAGTCACTTAGGTGGGAAGAGACCTCTAAGATGATCAAGTCCAACAACTAACCTAGCACTGCCAAGCCTATCACTGAACTGTGTCCCTAAAGCTCCACATCTACACATCTTTTAAATACCTCCAGGGATGGTGACTCAACCGCTTCCCTGGGCAGCCTGTTCCAGCGCTTAACAATACTTTCAGTGAAGAATTTCCCTAACATCCACCCCCGGTACAACCTGAGGGCATTTCCATGGGGTGCTCCCATTCAGTACTTCCTTAGACTGTATCAGATGTAGTTTGCAGCCAGCAGCCCATCTCTGACCCCAGACAGCTCCAAGAACAAGGAGCTGGAGACTGACTTTTCTGGTGTGCTGCTCCCAGGTGAACAGAGCAGAATCCAATTGAGAGGTGCTGTTCTGCCTGGCCTTCCTTCAGCTGTGCATTGGGGTCTTTTCCCTTGTCAAGGCACACCTAGAACATAACCTGAAGTGACAAGTAAACACCCCTTCTTATGAAACATCCAATCCCAGCTGCAGATCAAAGGAGATTTAGGTAATCTAGAAAGGCAACCAATTATTGGGTGCTTTACATATATTGCCCTGAACCTCAAAAAACAACAACAACAAAAACCTTCTTTGTTTCCAAGCAGTGCCAAAGCAGAGCCTGCTGCTCACAGTCACTGAGAGCAATCCCTCTGCATCTATCTCCCATGGGAGGAGCAGCAGTGTGCAGCCAGCCCGGGTTGCTGCAAGGTAACTTGGCTGGCAGATGACCCGGGCAGACAGCGAGCACTGCTCCGACCCCTCGGGGAGAGCAGGAGGAGAGCAGCCAGGAAGGCTGGGCAGGCAGGGCCTCAGCTGGCGGAGCTCCACTGCCTTCAAAGGGTGAGCTGGGGAGGAAGCTGGAGGCAATAAACAGATCGCTGGGGAGTGATACGGAGAACGGGTAAGGGATGCTGCAGATCCTGCCTTTCTGTGCCCTGCGCATGGGCTGCAGTTGCTTAGGGGTATTTCATATGCAAGAGGATTTCTGAAACCCAGTGGGTCATGCCTACTAAGACAGTGCATAATCAAGAGCTCTGGCTAGTCAACCATATCTAGCTCAGAAGCTTTCATCAGGACTGAAAAAGCACTTCTGGCTGTTTTGGGAAAAAAAGAAGTGACCTGCAGCTCAGCATTG